CTCCTCCTTCTCCTCCTGGGGAGGATAAGGGAGGAGGGCTCACATGCTGGGGGTGTTCATTACGAGGGCTGATCTCACAGTGCGCGTGGAGTCTTGGGGGGTTCAGGGGGTCGTCTCCCTCGTTTTTCGCCACCCTCTTCCGCACCGACGAAGTGTAGTAGTAGTAGTAGTAGTAGTAGTAGTAGTAGTAGTAGTAGTAGTAGTAGTCGTAGGCGTAGGCGTAGGAGTAGGCGTAGGCGTAGTCGTAGTCGTAGTCGTAGTCGTAGTCGTAGTCGTAGTCGTAGTAGTAGTAGTAGTAGTAGTAGTAGTAGTAGTAGTAGTAGTCTTCGTAGTAGAAGTAGTAGTAGTAGTGCTAGCCGTACCAGTAATAGTAGTAGTAGTAGTAGTAGTAGTAGTAGTAGTAGTAGTCGTAGTAGTAGTAGTAGTAGTAGTAGTAGTAGTAGTAGTAGTAGTAGTAGTAGTAGTAGTAGTAGTTAAGGTTGACGTCGGTCTGTTTGCCCAAGGGCGCGCCTGGCGCCATTGGCGCACCTGGCGCACCTGGCGCACCTGGCACACCTGGCGCACCTGGCGCACCTGGCGCACCTGGCGCACCTGGCTCACCTTGCGCACCTGGCCAAGCTGGCGCACCTGGCGCACCCACCTGGCGCGCCTGGCGCGCCTGGCGCACCTGGCGCGCTGGGCGCACCTGGCGCGCACCGGGCGCACCTGGCGCACCTGGCGCACCTGGTACACCTGGCGCACCCTGCGCACCTGGCGCACCTGGCGCCGCTGGCGCGCCTGGAGCACCTGGCGCACTTGGCGCACCTGACGCACCTATCACACCTGGCGCACCTGGCGCACCTGGCGCACCTGGCTCACCTGGCGCGCCTGGCGCGCCTGGAGCACCTGGCATGCCTGGCGCACCTGGCACACCTGGCGCACTTGGCGCACCTGGCACACCGCGCACCTGGTGCACCTGTGGCACCTGGCGCGCCTGCGCACCTGGCGCACCGCGCGCCTGGCGCGCCTGGGCACCTGGCGCGCCCAGTGCGACCTGGCGCGCATGGGCGCACCTGGCGCACGCCTGCGCACCTGGCGCACCTGGCGCCGCCTGGCGCACCTGGCGCACCTGGCGCACCTGGCACACCTGGCGCACCTGGCGCACCTGGCACACCTGACGCACCTGGCTCACCTGGCGCACCTGGCGCGCCTGGCGCAAATGGCGTGCCTGGCCCGCCTGGCGCACCTGGCGCACCTGGCGCGCATAGCACACCTGGCGCACCTGGCGCACCTGGCGCGCTGAGCGCACCTGCCGCACCTATCACACTTGACCCACCAGGCTCACCTGGCGCACCTGGCGCACCTGGCTCACACCTGACGCACCAGTCGAAGCACATGCGCAACGTATGCGCAACTTCACGAAACATTTGCGAAACGTCTACGAAACGTAAACGAACCGTATCCGAAACATACACGCAACGTATACGAAACGTATGCGAAACGTATACCAAACGTATACGACACATGTATGAAACACTTACGAAACTATGCGACACACATATATATATATATATATATATATATATATATATATATTTATATATATATACACGAAGCATATACGAATCACACAACAATCACATACGAATCATTTACGAAACATATACGACACATGCACGACACATATACGACACATGTGCGAAACCTTTGCGGAACATATACAGAACATACACGAAACATACGCGAAACATATGCGAAGCATATGCGAAACATATTCGAAACGTATGCGAAACGTATACGAACCGTATCCGAAACATATACGAAACGTATACGACACGCGTGCGAAACGTATACGAATCATATGCGAACCATATACTAAATATCACGAAACTTTGCGACCTATATACAAACATATACGAAACACCCACGAACAAATACACGAAAGACGTACGACACATATGCGACACATATGCGACACATATACGACACATATACGAAACATATTCGGAACCGGTACAGAACCTATGCGAACCATATCCGAATCAAATGCGAAAGACAGGCGGAACATATACGAAACATATACGAAACACAGGCGCTACATTTACGAAACGTATACGAAACATATACGAAGCATCTACGAATCATATACGAAACATATACGGAACATCTACGAACCATACGCGACACATTTACGAACCATATACGACACATATACAAAGCATATATGGTATGATATGATATGTTATGATATGATATGATTCGGTATGATATGATAGGATATATATATATGTGTATATATATATCATATATATGATATATGTATATACACGCATATATATTTACAGACATACATACGATACATATACGAAATATTTACGACGCATATGCGAAGCACTTACGAAACACAGACGAAACGTATCCGAAACATATACGGAACATATACGAAACATACACGAACCACATGCGAAACATATACGAAACGTGCACGAACCATGTGCGACACATATACAAAGCATATGCGAAACATACGAAACATATACGAAACATATGCGAAACATTCACGAATCGTATACGAAGCGTATACGAAACATATACGGCACATATACGAAACGTATACGAAACATATTCGAAACGAAACATAACGAAACATATACGAAACGTTTGCGAACCGCATGCGAGCCGTGTCCGACACGCATCCGAAGCATATACGAAGAGTATATTAACCGGATGCGAAACGCATGCGAAACGTTTACGAAACTTTACGAAACAAATACGAACTATATACGAAACATCATACGAAACAAATGCGAAACACATGCGCAACACATACGAGACGTGCACGAAACATACACGAAACCTGTACGACACATATGCGAAACATATACGAAACATCTACGAAACATCTACGAAACATATACGAAACGTTTACGACACACATACGACACATATACGAAACATAAAGGAAACATATACGACACATGTACGAAACATATACGAAACATTTACGAAACGTATACGAAACGTATACGAAACGTATAGGACACGAATACGAAACATATGCGAAGCAGAAACGACACGCATACGAACCGTATCCGAAAATATCAGAAACATTTGCGAAGCGCACACGAAGCGCATGCGAAACATGTGCGACACATGCACGAAGCATGTGCAAATCTATACAACATATATACGACACATATACGGCATTTGTACGAAAGTATACGAGACAAATACGAAACATATACGAACCATATACGAATAATATACCAGACATATGCGAAATATATACGAAACATGTACGAAACATATACGAAGTATGCACGAACATATGCGAAACATATACGGAACATTCACGAAACACGTACGAAATATAACGAACCAGTTACGACACATCTACGAAGCATATACGAAACATTTACGAAACATCTACGAAACATATACGAACCTATACGAACCGTTTCGATTCTTCCGAACCCGACTTCGATTCGATGCCGATCGACTCCGATTTCGATCCGATTTCGATTTCGACTTCCGATTTGGACGTCGGTTTCCCACTGGGGGCCTCACCAGCCTGCCGATTTCCGCCGGCTCGACTTCTCCCGACTTGCTGCCGAGTTCCGCCGATCCGATTAATTTCGAGCGTCGATCCGAGTTATCGATTCGGTTTTGGATCGGTGCTGGTGCATACCCAGACATGCTCGCGTCTTGGAAAAATCAGGGCAGAGGTACTTTGTGTTGTTTTCGGCCTCGGGGGCGCTCGTCAGGCCCTGGGGCCGTCAAAGACAGATTCAGGATGGAAAGCCGGTCTCCGGAACAGGGTCGGGGCTTCTGGGGACTCCGCACAGAAAAAATCTGGGTAGTTGGCGCCCCCCGACTCCTCCCTCCCTCCCTCCCGGGAGCCAGGACGAGTACCAGCCGCCCCCCCGGCTGAAGCAGATGCTGTCCAAGAAGAAGTGGTGGGGGGGTCTGTTGTGCTACCTGGTCCACATCCCGGCGGCGTGCGGGAGGTGGCAGTGGCGAAGGTGGGTGGCCCTAGGATCAAGGTCGGGCGTGTTCCTCTGCAGGAGGGAAATTCGAAAATAGTCAAAGCATAGTCTGGGGACGATTTGTGAGTATTTTGACAAGTTTTGAGTTTTGTTTGACTATATTGTATTTTTTGTCCAAACACTGCCTGTAGGGGGACATGCCCGCTCTAACCCGAGGAGGGCATCCCGCCCCTGGGGGCACTCGTGACTTCCAGGAAGGCATCCCTGGAAGCTTCGAAGCAGAGGCAGGACCCTCCCACCCGGACCTGCCAGGAGAGCCGGCAAAAATAGCATCGTGGGCTCTGAATCTGGGTGCAGGTCGAGGGTTTTCGCGTTCCCAGACATGCGGCGTCCTGATTTTTTCAATGCGCGGTCCCTAGAAGTCCCGACCCTTTCCACAGGACCCGTTTTTCATCCTGAGTCGTTTGACGGTCCCGAGGTCCGGGGAGGTCCCCCAGAGGCCGAAAATTGAGAAAATATGTTGTCTTGATTTTTCAATACGCTGGATTTTTGCGGCTCGAGCGTCCACGACAGGTCCACAGATTTGCAGGGCCCTTCTGCCGCACTCTTGACAGGTCCAGGCCACGGTGTCCCCGGGGCCCCGTTCCGAGAATGCCGCCCCCGTCGCCCTGCCCCCTCCTGCGCGACGCTGGACGGCCCCGTGGGTCTCGCCGCCCTCATGTACGCCCCCGAGTCGACGGTCCTGCCCCTCAGCGCCTCGCAGGAGTGTTTTTGTTTAACCATCTTCCAGATTTGTTCTTACCCTCTGGGCCATAAAGTGCGTTATGCCCACAGCCCTCCCCCTCCCTCTCCCCCTCCATAACAGAACGCTCCCCCCCTCAGTGCGTCCCCAACGCTGCCGCAGCGCGTTCGGCACCACAGGCTTGGGGGGGGGGGTGCTACGTTATGCCCCCTCCCGCCCCCTCCATAACGCCCGTTATGGCCGCGAATAAAACGAATGCGTGCCAGATCTTCCTGAACTTCTTCCTGGTCCAGGTGTTCCTGTACGAGAGGTACAGGAGAGCAGACAAGTTTGCCACGCTGGCGTGCGTCGTCAGCACCATGGTGATGAACTGGTCCACGCCCTCGTGGATGAAGGCCGCCTCCGGAGGGCACCTCGTCGACTTCCCGCTCAAGCGGGCCCTGGACTTCGCGGTCGGCACCTGGAGCAACTCCGGCTTCATGGCCTACCTCTGCGTCTGGGCGGCGCTGCTCATCACCTGCCTCTACGTGGTGGCGTTCGTCTCCGTGCGCAACGTCGCGAGGCCTCGGCATCGCTCGGACGTGTGCATTTTTCCTTCGGCGAGGACCATCGAGGAGCATCCTTGATCCTTTGGCGAAAAAGCCACGCACGAAACCGAAAAAAACACAGGGAATGGACGTCCGAGCGACGGCCAGAGGCCCTTCGCGGTGCCCGTGCTCGTCGGCCTGCTGAGCAGCCAGACGCACTTCCTGGGCAAGATCAGCTGGACGCTCCTCGTGGAGGGGCACACGCAGCCCCTGAGCTGGTGGACGTCGGAGAACGAGGCTCAAGTTAGGGGGCCACATGCGGACCCTACCCCTACCCCCCACGACTTCTGAGGGGGAGGGTGGGGTTCACTGCGTTCGGGAGCTCCCAAGCGAAGTGAACCCCACCCTCCCCCTCAGAAATCGTGGGGGGTAGGGGTAGGGTTCGCATGCGGTCCCCTACAAGTCGGGCCCGTGCCTCTCACAGGAGGAGTGTCCAGAACCGGTGGAAGAAAATTGTCCGGGGGGCGATCCCCTGACTGTTTTTTTGACCACTGGGGGGGTCCTTTTGGAGTCCATCTTTCATGTTTTTTTCCTCCGAGATCCGCCTGTTAGGGGGGCATGCCCGACCTACCACGAGGCGGCACTGCTCACCGTGGGCGTCACGGTCGTCATGTACCTCTGCAGCCTGCTGTCGGTCGTCTCCGGGCTGCGCCTACTCTCCTGCCGCTTCTTCGTGCCCGCCGTCGTCGTGGCCGTCGAGGTGCTCACCGTCACGCAGCTCCTGCTGTTCTTCAGGACCTACGAGGGGATGACGTACACCGACATCGTCCTCTTCGTGGTGTCGTCCGCGTGTGCGGTGGTGGGCATGTTCTTCATCGCTCCGGAGCAGACCAGGATCCCCTCGCCACAGAACGCGGAGCTTAACTCGCCGCTGCTCAAGGGCAAGAAGAACGCGTTCGACGGCCAGCAGGTCCACTCGCACCGATGGGTGCTTGACATCATGAACGAGTACGGCGTCATAAAGTCTGAGAAGCAGAACGAGAGGGCCCTGGAGACCGTGAACATGAACGACTTCCCAGTGGACTACTCGACGTGCAGTCAGAAGGCCCTGCGCTACTTCCCCCTCGGCGTTACCCTCCTTGTGGTTCTTCTGCCATCCTTGATGATATACTTTGATAACCAGTTCGGTGCCTTCATCGTCCTCACCGTGTTCGGGCTGTACCAGGGCTGGCGGCTCGGCGTGCACATCGCCCTCTTCTCTTACGTCGGCATAAAGAAGATGGCACACTTCGAGAACGCCGATTTCCAGGCGCTCTACGACGAGGAGGCGAGCAGCAAGCCCAAGCCGAGCAGGGGACCCACATGGGACAAACTGGTACACGTGGTCATCCTGCCCAACTATAAGGAGTCCGAGGGCAGCCTCGTGGCGGCCATCAGGACCATCGCGGACTCAAGCATCGCAAAGACGCAAATCATTCTCGTGCCAGGCATGGAGGAGAGCGAGGGCTTGGACGAGAAGACGCCGTGGATCGATGGGCCAGAGGGGCCGAGTGGGCCGAAGAAACCAAACCTGACGCACCTCGACGAAGTAAAGAAGAAAGCAGAGAAGCTGAAAGGCATCTTTCAGAACGACTTCCTCGACGTGTTCCCCACCTTCCACCCAATCATAGAGGGTGAGCAGCGGGGCAAATCCGCCAACACGAAGTGGGCCTTCAACCGTTTGATTGAGGAGGGTCTTTGGTATCTTGTATATACCTATATATGTTAGCCATCGTGGACCCCACACAGTGCTTTCTTGCAGCCTATGCGGTGTAATCTAGGTGGTGCAACCATTGTGGTGCGATCTAGGTTGTGCAATCCATGTGGTGTACTCTATGTGGCACAAAGCATTGTGAAGCAATGCGCATCGATTCAAAGCAATGCAGTGTAAACGCGAACAACTATGTTAGCCAGTGTAGACCCCAAGTAGTGCGTTTCTGGCAAAAATGATGTGCATGCAGTATATGTGGTGATGCCATTTATGTTGTGCTATAGATGTGGTGTAGTTCATGCAGTCTATGTGGTGCAATATATGGTGTGCAGTCCTTGTTTATGTGAAACATTATATTTGGTGCAGTCTATGTGGTGCAATTGATTTTTACACATGATGTGACACATCCCACGCTCTTGCAAACATCCCACCCACCCACCCGCAACTTGGTTTGCAAAACCTCTTAAAACCGACTACGACGACACCGACGACAACGACTACGACGACACCGAAGACGTCTCCGACGACTTCGACGACGACAACGATGCCGACGACGACGAAGACGACGACGACGCCAACGAAGGCGACGACGAGGGAGGAGGAAGGACGACGACGGCGACAACGACGACAACGACGACAACGACGAGGGAGGAGGGAAGACGGCGACGACGCGAACGACGAAGAAGGAGGAAGGACGGCGACGCCGACGACAACGACGAGGGAGGAGGGACGACGACGACGACGACGACGACGACGACGACGACGACGGCGACGAAATAGGAGGGACGACGACGAGACGCCGACGACGGACGACGACGACGACGAGGGAGGAGGAGGAAGGACGACCACGGCGACAACGACGACGGAAACGACCACGACGCCAAAGAGGACGACGACGACGAACACGAGGAAAGACAGAGGACGACGTAGGCGACGACGACGACGACGACGCGAGAGGAGGGAGGACGGCGACGACGACGACGACGACGACGACGCAAGAGCGCGCGCGCACGTTTTTGTTGAAAATCCGTGTTGCGAAGCCTTGTGTTTTTGTAGGTTTCTTGGACGCGCGATTTTGTAATCCTTCCGAAACCGATGGGTTTTGAAGGATTTCGGCGTACGCGCGCGTCGACGCGCGCGTCTGCACTTCGTCCAATTTTTTGCAGAGGATTCTCGCGACGGCACACGCGCAAGGGCTTGATTTCGACATTTGCGCGCGCGACGCCCGTTTGGTAGAATGTTGTGAAAATCTTGAAAAACCTATGGTTTTTTTTTTTAAAGATTTCGCAAGAGCTCGCGCGGAAGCTTTCTTAGCAAATCAGTGTTACGAAACCCTGTGTTTTTGTATGTTTTTTTTGGAAACTCGATTGCGAAATCTTTCCGGCACCGAAGGTTTTTGAAGGATTTCGGCATGCGCGCGCGACGACGCGCGCGTGTGCACTTCGTCCTATTTTTTCGCAAGGGATTCGTGAAAAAGTGTTATGTTAGAACAAAACATGTCACCACATAGTGTTTTTTACCAGGGAACCTCAGGGGGGGGGGATACTGGTTGGCCTGGGACATTGTGATTACATATTTAGGACGGACATGTGGTCAGAATCATACGTGATTTACATACCCGAAAGGGGGGCGATAACTCTGGGGGGGGGTAGAGTCTATTCTCTTTTTAGAAAGGAGAATCTTTGTTGTGCAGTGAATGTGGTGCAATCTATGTTGTACAACTCACTCTGCTGAACTTGAAGTCGTCATCTCCACTGCTCGCGCAAACATCCCACCCACCCACCCGCAACTTGGTTTGGAATCCCTGTTAAGACCGACTACGACGACACCGACGACAACGACTAGGACGACACCGACGACGTCTCCGACGACATCGACGACGACAACGACGCCGACGCCGACGACGACGAAGACGACGACGACGACGCCAACGAAGGCGACGACGAGGGAGGAGGAAGGACGACGACGGCGACAACGACGACAACGACGACAACGACGAGGGAGGAGGGAAGACGGCGGCGACGCGAACGACGACGAAGGAGGAAGGACGGCGACGCCGACGACGACAACGACGAGGGAGGAGGGAAGACGACGACAAACGACGACGACGACGGCGACGAAATAGAAGTGACGACGACGAGACGCCGACGACGGACGACGACGACGACGTGGGAGGAGGAGGAGGACGACCACGGCGACAACGACGACGGAAACGACCACGACGCGACGGCACAAGATGAACCCAAAGACGGCATTAGATGGGACAAAGAGGCCCACAAGAGGCCTCCAAGACGGCCCAAGAGGCCTCCAAGAGGTCCTCCAGGAAGGCCCGAAGAGGCGAGAATCATACATTCTCCTAAGGTTTTTGAAGGATTTTGGTATTGGCGCCTTTTCGGCTTTCCGATGGCCCAAGACGGCCCACGAGGGCCCCAAGGTCGCCGCAAGCAAGATCGCCCAAGAGGCCTCCAAGATGGCCCCATGACGGCCCAAGAGGCCCCTCAAGACTGCCCCAAGAGGGCCCCGAGACGGGCCAAGAGGCTCCCAAGACGCCCAAGATGGCCTCTAAGACGGCCCCGAAGCGCCCCAAGAGGGTGCGAAGTCGGCCCAGAGAGGCCCCCAAGACGGCTCCCGACGGCGTTAGACGTGCCAGGAGCCCACCAAGACTGCCGAAGATGGCTTTAAGATGGCCCAAGACGGCCCGATAGGCCTCCAAGTGGGCCTCCAGGGAGGCCCGCAAAGGCCAAAATCGTGGGTTTTCCCTGAGGTTTTTGAAGGATTGTGGCATTTGCTTTTTGTTCGGCCTTCCGACGGCCCGAGACGGCCCAAGTGCCCCCAAAGATCGCCCAAGACGGCCCCAAGAGGCCCCCAAGACGGCCCAAGAGGCCTCCAAAACGCTCAAGATGGCCTCCAAGACGGCCCAAGAGCCGTCCAAGACGTCCTCCAAGAAGGCCCGAACGGGTCAAAATGGCCTCCAGACGGCCAAGATGACCTTCAAGATGCCCACGTGTTCCCCAAAGGCTTTCCAAACCGATTCGGGGAACGCATGGTCCGAAAGCTTGGCAGGTCTGGCCTCAACGTTCGGCCACATAGGCGCTTCCACAAAGGCAGGAGGCGGCGGTGATTCGCCGTAGGCGTCTTCGATCAACGCCGAAACAAGCTAGCACGCCAGGCACCCCTGCGATGAATCGACGGGGGGCGGCGGATCGAATGCGCTCGTGCCATCCCGCCACCGCGCCAGGCGCCTGGGCTGCGTCGGAATTCTCAGGGATGCTTCATGGGGGTCTCTTCGGCGCGCCCTGGGGGGGGCTTTTGGCTTGCAGTCTTGGTGCCTCCTGGGGGCCTCTCGGGGGCCTCTTGGGGCCTCTTGGGGCCTCTTGGGGCCTCGGGGGGGGCCTCGTGGGGGCCTCGTGGGGGCCTCCTGTGGGCCCCTGGGCGCCGAGGGCTCGAATGTCCGCTCGGGTCCACCATCTGGGCAGCCTCTTGGGGCCGTCTTTGGGGCCGCTTGGGCCATCCTGGGCGCCTCTTGGGCCGCCTTGGGGCCCTCTTGGGCCGTTTCGGGGTCCTCCTGAGTTTTTTGTTGGGCCGTCTTGGGGCGATCTTGGGGGCCTCCAGGACAATTTGGGGGCGTCGGGAAGCCGAAAAGGCGAGAACGCCGAAACGTTCAAAACCCGGAGGGAATTAGGGAGGGAATCACGTGGGCGCTAGGCGGGAAAAGGGGAGGATGAGTAGAATGTGAAGAGACCCAAGGCTGTGGGCCGGAGAGACGGAGGGAAGGAGGGAGGGAGGCAGGGATGGAGGAGGGACGGGCTTTTCTACCCACAACCACGGTGCCTCTCACCTGCATTGGTGCTCACAAGCGCCGCAGCAGTAACAAACGCTGCGATGTTCGGTCTTGGTGGAGCCCGCATTGTCTGCGGTGTGCGTGCACGCATTTTGCCGTCCACTGGAACCGGGACGATCCTAGGCATTGTGGTGCTCAAAGCTGACAAGAAACGATGTCAAATACTTTGTAGTACATATAATGCCAGCAATCGCTGTAGTGTTCATTCACCCCGTGGCGCTCGTAGGCATTGTGGCGATCCTGGGTTTGTTATGCTCTTCGGAGCCACGGTAAATCTTGTCATTTTGGTGTTCGTCGTCATCGCGGCGCTCCTTTGGTCTGGTCTGCTTGCGTGTGCTGGAATGGTCAGATCTAGCCCTTGTAGGTGTTATCGCGGATCTGTCAAACTGTCTGGCAGCGTGGACCCCCCGAATGAATTCCTGGCACCCTGGATGTGTACTTCAGTTATTTGACGCAGTATGCGGTGCCATTTGTGTGGTGCAAGCTATCTGGTGCAAGCTATGTGGTGCAATCTGTGTGGCGCAGTGTGTGGTGCAATGTGAGTGGTGCAAGTGCAAGCGATCTGGTGCAAGCCACGCGGTGCAAGATGTGCGGTGCAAGCTGTGTGGAGACGTCTGCCGGGTGCAGGCCACGTGGCGCAGCGCGTGTGGTGCAAGCCATGCGGTCCGACACGCGTGTGGTGCAGGCTATGCAGTGCCGCCTGTGCGGTGCAGCCCACGCGGTGCAGGCCACGTGCTGCACGTCATTGTGGTGCACAAGAGGCGCCCGCGAGGAGGGAGGAGGAGGGAGGAGGAGGGAGGAGGAGGGAGGAGGAGGGAGGAGGAGGGAGGGAGGAGGGAGGGAGGAGGGATGGAGGAGGGGGCACCCTGGAGGCGCGCCTGCGGACAAGCATCCCGGCCAGCGCACGAGGCGCTTGCGAGGTGCCCACGGTGGAGCCGGGCCGAACGCAGTAACGTCTTGTCCCAGCATCGATCGTGTTCTTCTAGTGGAGGGCCATGCCAAGAACCACCCTGCTTGCCTCCAGGGTGCCCTGGGTGTCTTGGGTTTCGAAGGTTTTGCCGTGGAAAGCGCGACCTTCCCACACCAAAAACCAATGTGGACGTCTTGGGGTCTCGAGGTTGGGTTTCTTGCGGAAGGTTTCCTGTGGACTGGCCTTCGCTGTATTCATTGTTTTGCCGATCGGCGCACGCCCTTTCACCCCGCCTCCCCCCCCATGGAGCAGATGTTGGCTGGTTTTTGGCGCCTGCGTCAAGCAGGTGGAGCCTTTCGCCATAGGACGCACTGCTGCAAACAGTCGCACTAAGCAGAGGTCCGGAGCCAGATCCCCTTCCCCTCTTCGCCCAATGTCGAATCGCCGAATAAGAAAACGTTCACAAGCTTGGCGTCGCTCGGATATGTGCGTTTTTTTTGTTTTTTTGTTTTTCTTCGGCGAGGCCAGCGCTAGAAAACCTGGACCACCTAATTCATTAGCATTCTGAATCACCTTGCGAAAAAGTAGCACGCCCGACATCGAAAAATGCGCAGGGAATGTACTTCCGAGAGATGGCAGGCTATTGAGGGCAAGCAGTAACCCCTGAGAGCAAGCAGTGTTAGGGGAAATCGCTCTCGAGGAAGCGGGCTACATACACCAGAAGGGGTACGACATCCGAAACGTCATAGTGACGATCGCCGACGCCGACAGCGATTTTCACAGGGAGTACTTCGCCGCGCTGACCTACTACTTCTGCCACGCTGGCGCCGACGCCGACGGTGAGACCCCGGACAGGCATCTCACAATATGGCAGGCCCCCATCCTGCATTTCAAGAACTATCGCGACCAGCCCGCGCTGGTGAAGCTCGCCTCGCTGGTCGCCAGCCAGCACGAGCTCGCGAACCTGGCCGACCCCAACGCCACGCGCGTGCCCTACTCCACCTACTCGCTCTCGGCGGTGCTCGCTGAGAGGGTGGGCGGCTGGGACGGGGACTTCATCTCGGAGGACTGGCACATGGCCCTGAAGTGCTTCTTCGCCACCGCCGGCCGGTTGCGGGTGACCCCAATCTTCTTGCCTGTGATGAACTACGCCCCCGTCGGCGACACGTACTGGAAAACAATCGATGAGCGCTTCAAGCAGGCGAAGCGGCATGCGCTCGGTTTCAGCGAGATGATCTACATGCTGAGACATTTGGGGCGTGTTTGGGGAGCCATCGGCACTCCATGGGGCAAGTCTCTGTACAAATGGCGCGCGATGTTCTTGTGGGTGAAGCTCTTGATGATCCATCTTGTCATGGCCGTCTTCTTCATAAACTCTGTTTTGAATGGTTACCTGATTTCATATTTTGCGCACGACCCCAGAATCCAGCAGCTGGATGCCAACACGTGGACGTTCTTAATAAATTGCGTCTTCCAGTCTATGGCGTTCCTGTCGTTCATGTCGATTTTCTTGATCAGCGTGCTGCTGTACGAGGCCGTGAAGCACCGCGTCGTGGACGAGCAGGAGGGGGCACAGTTGGGCCTCCGATGGCGCTCCCAGTGCGCGAACTTCTGCATCACTCTCGTCCAGTCCCTGGTGCTGCTCATGCCCTTCTTCGCTGCCGCCAGCACCGCGGAGTGGATCGCGGCCTGGAAGTGCATGGGGGGGCACAAGTTTAACTACGTCGTGGCCACCAAGCCCAAGGAGAAGGTCGCCGACCTGCAGGCGGTCACCAATGCAGCATGAGCGGGCCAGCTCGCGCGCCGGGTAGGAGGAAGAAAGCTTGGCGAAATTGGCTCCGGAAGCGAGCCGATGCCAATTTGGGCACGGCGGAGGGCCAGATGACCGCACACAGCGCCTGGGCACGTGCCCTCGGGAGGTGGAGGAGGAGGAGAGGGGAGGGGAGGAGGGAGTGAGGATGGGAGGAGGGGGAGGAGGGGGAGGAAAGGGGAGGACGAGGGAGGAGGAGGAGGAGGAGGAGGAGGAGGAGGAGGAGGAGGAGGAGGAGGAGGAGGAGGAGGAGGATAGGAGGAGGAGGAGGAGGAGGAGGAGGAGCGAGGAGGAGGAGGAGGAGGAGGAGGAGGAGGAGGATGAGGAGAGAGAGGAGGAGGAGAGGAGGAGGAGGAGGAGGAGGAGGAGGAGGAGGAGGAGGAGGAGGGAGGAGGAGCGGAGGAGGAGGAGGAGGAGAGGAGGAGGAGGAAGAGAGGAGGAGGAGGGACGGCGGCGAGGTAGCATCGTCAAGTCCGAGGAGGTGTCCCTGACGGCGCGGAGGGGGGGGGCAGGGGGAGGAGAGGGAAGGCTCCTTAGAAGGAGGCCGCTTCTCAACAGCCGCGGGCCTCACATTTCCAGACAAGGCCCGCGCGCCTTCCAAGAGGCGGGGGGTGCTTCTGAGAAGCCTTTCCCCCTCCCTCCCCCGTGCTCCCCTCTGCGCGCCGCCAGTCTCCAGCGAGAGCCCCGCTTTGAAGCAGAGTCGCCCTTCATCCGCGTTCTTCTTCTTCTTCTTCTTCTTCTTCTTCTTCTTCTTCTCTCCAAAACATTTTTTTTTTTTACAGGTCACGTCTGGTCATAGATCCCACGGGAGTCTCCAGCTGGAGCCCCGATTTGAGCAGGAGCCGCCCTCCCTCCGTGGTTACCGTTGCGCAGTTTTGGCTGCTATCCGAGCATGAGGCTCGAGGGCATCTCGAGCGAAAAGCTATGTTGCGAGCAGGAGCCGCCCTCCAGCTGTGCAACTGCTGAGAGCGAGGGTCACATTTTGAAAACGGCATCTCCCTCCGCTGCTGGCTCGCCTTCCTGGTTGTACGAAGGATTTGGAGGCGCTGACGTGGATGTCAAACACATTGTTTGAAAACGGCCCCCCTCTGTCGGTGCACCGATTGGATGCTTTTGACACGGATGTGCGCGGCGCTAAGGAGAGTGCCACATTTTGAAAAGCGGTTGTCCGTTATCCTTGCAGTCGTTGGAGGCTTTGGCGACGAATATGCGCAGCGCTATGGTGAGAGCGAAATTTTGAAACGGACCCCTCTCTATCGGTGTACCGATTGGAAGCTTTTGCGACGAATGTGCGCGGCGCTACGGCGAGCATCACATTTTGATAAGGGGCCGCCCTCCATTCGTGTTTTGGAGGCTTTCAAGACGAATGCGTGCGGCGCTACGGCGAGAGTCACATGCTGAAAAGGAGCCGCGCTCCATGCATGTAGCTGATGGGAACTTGTAAGGCGAATGTGC